CGTAAGTAATTACTAGCTTAATATAAAGCGTGCCCCAAAATTCACCTAAGAGTGGAATTAGTTAAGACGCTTATTTATTTTTCAAATCATAAAACATGTAGGATGGACTTATACCGGATGTTGCAAATTCGACCCTCACCATTGGTAAGCGATTCGAAGTCGTTTAAATAGGGGCAGAGTTGCGTATTTAGGTATTTACCAAAATTCCGCTTAGAAAGAAAAATTCAAAGTACTTCCGTAGAGAAACGGAAGAAACCGAATTCTCCCAAAACCGTTTTAATTCCCCCTTGACTTTATTCGTAGTGGGATTTGGAAATAAATTGCATATTAACATTGACACGTTTTCTCTCCTACAAATTTGCATCATTAGAATTTCAACATGATGTTTCAACTCTTGTCCTCCAGAATCAATTTTTTTTATAGTCGCGATATTAGATTGTTGCACAGATAAATAGTTTTTAATTCTGATTCCAAAATGCATAATATCTCATACATTGATACTGCCAAACCTCAGTTATTAACAAGAAACAGAATTTCCTAGGTAGGCCTTGAAACTATCAAATAGTCATTTGTTTCGTATCCGAGATTTATCGCAAATTCATAATAAACAGAGCGCTGAACAATTTACAGAGAAAAGTCAGGCTGTACCTACAAAATAACGAACAACGTTGTGAATCTCTGCTATGATTTGCCTCTGCTTATTTTATTACCATCAATAAAATTTTCATTTAAGATCAGGTTTCACCATACCTTTTTACTTCATTATAATACAATTTTCTTCCAACAACAAACTCATGATCAACTAAGGAAATACTTTAGGACTGAAAACTCCATTTTAATGTACAAAATTCCACTATAGCGTCCATGTGAAAGAACAAAGTTGGTGATGGAAGTAGAAAGAAGATACTTCGAATTGAAAATTTGACTGTCATCTTGTAGAGGAGGAAAACAGCCAATTAGAGCATGCCATTTAGTTTGAAATTCCGTCTAAAATAAAGTCAGGAAAAAATAAAAATTATTTTTTACTTAGGAAGTTGTGTTTTTTTTAAATAACTAAGGCTTGGAGCGGTCAATGCATGACATATACATTTTTTTTGGAATCAGAGTGAAAAACTGTATTTATATGTGCATAAAGAAAGGTCTACAAGAAAAAATAAAGTTGATGCAGTAGGACAAGAGATGAAACGTCATATTGACTTTCTATATATGTCACTTTCTAGTGGAGAAAAAGTCGCAATGTGGATGAGCAATTTATTTTGAAATACCACTATAAATAAAGTCAGTAAGAAATCAAAATGTTTTTTCGGAAAGTTAGTTTTTTACGAATATATAAAATACTGTATAATTAGGAACTTACCTATTAGTTTTGTTAGATTTTGATTTTCAATTGTATTCAACTTTTTGAAAGTTTGTTCATTTATGTTATTTAGGTTTATAATATACGACCTGATAGATTTCATCAGTTCTATCAAGGGACTTTAAGACCAAGCGGAATCGCCCAGCTACCCTCTGTTGCGTGATTCAGTAGACTACACAGTCGAGCAAGTCCGCAAACATTCCAGGCCGCGCCTCGCACTGTGATCAAAATTAAATTGTAAATTCAGACCAGCCAAAATTATTTCAGTATACAAAACCGATCAAAATTATTTTGTAGAGTTACAAAATAATTCGAGTACTAGTCAATAATGCTTAAGCTATTTCAAATGATTTACTTCTTTTCTTTGCTCTATTTCTTCCTTCCTTCCGTTCCTTATTTCCTTTTTCTCCTTAAACATGTTTGGTATCTGGGTAGCCAGACCTGACAGACTAACAGACCGACGAGACTTTTAACTAAGAGCAAAGGTCCACCGGACCGCTCTGACGAATAATGTCGAATAGTAGTAGGGACTTTAAGACGAACACAATTTCCGCTCGCCTGTTGCCAAGCAATTTCAAAGACAGTAACTACGATAGTCAACCAAATATGAAACTCACAGGAATACACTAGAAGGTTCCTTATATACCGAAGCAGCAGCCTAGGCACAGGCCTGAATACCGGGGCACCATGACTACTATCAAGAGGTTACCGACACCTTGTTGAACCGATTTTTCAACAGCTTAATAGTACTGGGAAAAACATCCTCATGCAGATTGTTTCACAATCTCGACACCCTAGGAATAAAGGATCGGTCATACCAGGTAGTTCTAGATGCACAAAATTCGACATAATGTCTCGCCCGTCGCCGACGGTGCGAAAAGGACCCGAGACTGTCTGTTAGAGAAATTTCATCAATCACTCAGAAGGTCCTTCCCTATGCAGCATCGTTGATGGACAATGCAGTCGGGGTACACCACAACCATGTGAGCAGTAGGTGCTCGACGCTAGGTCTGATCTGGGATTGTGGACGTAATATAATAATAATAATAATTAACGTCTTTTATTTGTAATATTCTTACAGGAAGCGAGATTTAGATTATATATCTATTCTACCATCTAACCCCCTTAACAATACGAGATGTAAAGAAAAAAAAGAATTTGTTAAAAAAAAAAGAATTTGTTGAAAATTAATATGGTGTAATTACCTGGCCATGGACCGAGTTTCTTTGTTTGTAACAACGCCCGATGAAAATTGAAACTTATCTTTGCAAAAATTTTCAAAAAAATTAGCTCATTCTGTACTCACGATCAAAAATAGTTCCTTGAGTAAGTTGTATCCACAGATCACCAATTTCGGTCGTACCGACGAGTTATGGATGTAAGAAGTCCAACACAGAATGGGAGGCTGGCAGTCGCGTTGCGCGGCTGCATCATCCAGGAGGGCTCTGAGGAGCAAAGCTCGTTGACATAGCAGTAGAAGAGAACTAGATCGCCGAATGCCCGTTGTCCGTTTGAAATGTTACTAGTTCGCTTTAGTTTTATCCGTTGGGACTAAGAAGAAAGAATAGAACTTGCAGACCTTGATCCGTATCAAATCAGATATATTCTAGTATTTGTATAGTAAATATGATTCAATCAAAAACTGTGGGTTTTATTGTTTTCCTGGTCCGCTGATGAATTTAGGACGAATTAGGGGTATTTCCACATTTTTATTTAATTCTAGGAGTCTTTTTATTCGGTGAATTTTTCTAGTTGAAAACTCTGAAACTTCTTGTTTTCAAGCAGGAGAAAATATATTTACGTCTGAAAGTTCATTGACCGCACTGTTCGTATATTATAAATCCGAACAGTCGTATACTTGGAAAATAAAATTAAAGAACGCAATTGAAAATAAAAAAGCCCGCCAAATTAATACTTTTTAATATACCGTATTTTTACTAAAATCTTTAAATTACATTCAAGGAACGTGGGTTTGTGTTTCTCGTGTCTCAGAAACACATGTCAATATTTCTAGGGTAGAAAGTACATCGAAAAATAACAAAAAAGTTTCTATAAATATAAGTCCAAATATGCCCCTACCTACAAGGTAATGAAGTCTTATTTACGAAATTTAAGAAAATACAGTAGAATCCCGATTATCCGAAACGCGATTTTCCGAAATCAGCTTTATCCGAAACCGATCGCATATACAATAATCTCTCCATTTTAACCGAATTTGTTCGGGAAATCGGCGCATGATCCGAAATAGTCGCCGGTAGTTCCCCTTTCGGCGTTTGCGTCATTAGATTCGCTGCTGGTGATTCCCCAAGCGCGTTCACTGGTATGTGTCCGTGTATGTTTGTTTCAGTCAGGTTCATAATCGCTAAAATGGAGCAGCATAGAAATAAAAGTAAAAGCGTTGTTATTACCATCGAACAGAGACTTGAGGCAATCAGACGTTTAGATAGAGGTGATTTGCTTAAAAACGTGGCAAGTGATTTGGGTGTGGGCGTGAGTACCATTTGAGAATGGAAAAAAATAACGTGAGAAAATTAAATAGTGGTCTAGTCATTGGGTCTAGTGTTCTGACATCATCGCAGCCGTCATGGAAAACTATGAAAAAGGGGGGAATTTAAAAAGGGGATGATGCTTTATATCTGTGTTTTACACATAATCGAGAACGTGGAATACCAATTTCCGGACCAATTGTAAAGCAAAAGGCAGTCAACTTAGGTGAAGAATTGCCAGTTATTGAGGCGCCTGATAACTTTACAGCCAGTGACGGTTGGCTGCATAGACGGAAAAAACGACAAGGTATACGAGAAATAAAAGTTTTCGGAGAAAAGTTATCTGCCGATAAGTCCGCTGCATTCAAATTTGGAGAACATTTTAAAGAATTAATGAAGCAGTATGGTTTACATCCAGAAGAAATTGCAACTGCGACAAAACGGGCCTAAACTATAAAATGTTACCGGCAAAAAGTTTAGCTTCAAAACAAGAATCTGAAGCTCCAGGTGACAAATGCAGTAAAGAACGTGTGACTATCCTTGCTTGTAGCAATGCTTCCGGTACACACAAACTTCCTTTGTTGTTGGTAGGAAAATCAACTAAACCTAGAGCATTTAAACATGTCCGTCTCAACGCTCTTCCAGTGTACGAGGGATGTCTTTTAGGTTTTGCACATAGAAGCATAGTGGGCCGCGCGGATCGAACGTCAGTACTGAATCTTAACCTCACTCTTTAGTAAACTTAAATTCAAAGTTTCACAACAATACGTACAGTGTGCTCACTACAGTGAATTTTTAAGTGTCACCTAGTCATTAGAAAAATGGAACTCAACCGAGAACATTTTCGCGCCATAATTTATTACAACTTTCAGAGACAATTATCGCAACAAGAATGCCTTGCTGAGTTACTGTCTGTTTTCGGCAACGAAGCGCCACATCAGTCGACAATTTCCCGTTAGTATGTAGAATTCAAACGTGGACGGGTGAGTCTTAGCGACGATTCCATGGTGGGTGCACCAAAAACGGCAGTCACCCAGGAAAACGTCGATGCTGAGCGCAAACTCATCATTGAAGATAGACATGTAACATATCGCGAGATTGAGGCATCCTTGAAGTTCTCAAAGACCTCAATTCAGAAAATTTTACATGAATAATTTGGAGTAAGAAAATTAGTTTCTCATTGGATAGCCCACCTGTTGACTGAAGAGCAGAAAGCAGCCAGGATTAATTGGTGTCAAAGAACGCTTGACCGTTTCAATTCCGGAAACTCAAAAAATGTGTACAGCATTCTTAGTCGTGATGAGTCGTGGATTTACTGTTATGAACCAGAAAATTAACGACAGTCGGCTATTTGGGTGTTCCAAGGTGAAGAAAAGCCAACAAAAGTCATCCGTTCTCGAAGTGTTTCGAAAAAGATGGTAGCGACGTTTGTGTCAAAAATTCCTCTTAATGAACAAATAACTGTTTCTGCGGATTGGTATACCATCATTTGTTTGCCAAAAGTCATCACCGAGCTTCGAAAAATCAACCCCGAGAGAAGAATCATCCTCCACCAAGACAATGCAAGCTCCCACACAGTCCAAAAAACAAGGCAGTATTTAACTAAAGAAAACGTGGAATTATTGGACCATCCTCCATATAGTCCCGATCTAAGTCCTAACGATTTCTTTACTTTTCCGAAAATTAAAAACAGACTGCGTGGTCAAAGGTTCCAGTCACCAGAAGAAGCAGTTGACGCATTCAAAAATGCCGTTTTGGATCTGCCAGCAAACGAGTGGAATAAGTGATTCGAAAATTGGTTCGAGCGCATGCAGATGTGTATTAATCTTCGTGGAGGATATTTCGAAAAACAATAAAGTCATTTAAAACTACCTACCGTGTTGTTTTATATCCATATGCATAACTTAAAAGACATCCCTCGTAGTATACAAATCAAAAAAGTACCTGGATGAATGCTGCTCTATTTAAGGACTGGTATTACAATCATTTCGTTACCAAGACAGAACGATATTTGAATGAATGAGGATATCCGAGAAAATGTATTTCGCTATTAGACAATGCTCCGAGCCACCCAAGTGAGGAGCAACTTAAAAGTGGAGCAATACGAGTGATGTCTTTGCCTCCTAATGTAACGTCAATGATTCAGCCAATGGATCCAGGAGTTTTAGAAAACTTAAAACGCCATTACAGAAGTTTGTTATTAGAGCAAATTTTAGATCAAGTTGATAACAGTTGTAAACTCGTTGATTGTTTAAAAGAGATGCACCTCAAGAATGTGGCATATTGGATAGCCGAAGCATGAAGCCAAGTAAAAAATTCAACTTTACGAAAATCTTTAATAATTAAGCAAGAAATAGAAACTTGCGCAGACTATGAGAATAACAACGAATAATTACATGAGCTCGTCGTAAAAATAGCAGGGTGTGAAGATCTTACCCAAGCAGATGTTGGTGAGTGGATTAATGGTGACGAATTGGTGGATAAATTAACTGATACAAAACTAACAAAAACTGTTTGTAACAATGGCGATGAGACAGTTTTAAGTTATTCTAGTGACAATGAGACAGAAATCTCTGCCAAAATATAACATTCTGAGGGATTAGAAGCTCTACAAAAGGCGTTGACTTACGTCGAAGAACAAGAAAATGCGACAGCAGCTGATGTGCTGCTTATCAAACGTTGGAGTGATATTGTTGCCAAAAATAGGAACAATGCAAAACGCGTATAGTTAAAAATTACTTCATTTGTTTATATTTTACGTAAATTATAGGCATATACTCACTTAACACACGCTTTTACTTTTTTCAATAAAAGCATTATGAATCAAAATATTTATTTCCGTTTTATCCGAAATTTAGATTAGCCGAAAGCACTTGGGTCCACATTATTTCGTATAATCAGGATTCTACTGTATATACATATACCTACGGAGCGGATAAAAATACTAGTAGAGTTAGGATTTTAGACGTGCAGTGAACATATCATATAACCAGGGACGTAGAAACTGGAAATATTTTCTACGCCACTGGCCTTTTTGGAGAAAAGAAATACATTCTATAAAATACCATTGCACTCTTTTTAAATTTTGTTTGCTACGGAATTTTAGTCACATCACTCTTTCTGAGGTAAAACACTAAAATATTCTTTTGAAAAGGCTTAGTCTCGTCAATTCTGGAAACATCATGAAGCTTGATAATGTGAAGAAAACTACGGCACCTCATCAAAACATTAATTGGATGATATGTGCGTCTTATCCTCAATCAGTAGCGTAGACGCTTACTATTCATTAAACCTTGTCTATGCACACCACTGGTTTTCATGGTATACGTGTCCTGGTATTACTCATGTTAGAATGTTCTGTTGGTCGAAAATCACAACTAGTAATTGTGCAACCAATCAGTTTGAGTAAAATTCTTATTATTTTACTTCTGAAATTACCGGCCTTTGTTTCTCAACATTCTTTAGCATTTCGGATTAAGTGAGCCCAACGAAAAATATGTCACAAAAAAACCTCGGACATGAACCATGTGGACGAAGTATACAGAAGGCTTTCAACACTGTTCGTACTAAGCAAGGTATTTTCTTAAGAGTCAGAGAGGCTGGCGTAAAGCACAGGCTTGGGTTGTATCCAACATTTCCTCCAGGTTCGACGTTATAGCATTTATTCAGCATTATTATTTATTGCCAATGTTACGTCCTCATAAATGTAGAAATATGACTGAACGTCTAAAACCTTAACTTAGTATCTTCACCCGCTCAGTCGATATATTATTCTTCAATTTCGTAAATAAGACTTCATCACCATGAATTCCGGTAGGAGAGCATCTTTCTATCCATATTTATAAGATCTTTTTTGTTATTTTTAGATGCACCTTCTACCCTAGGAATATTGACACGTCTTTCCGAAATACCCTGTATACAAAGGGGGTCTACTACTACGAGTACTCTGTTGTCGCAATTTTCCTTGAACATTTTGCAGCGATGGAGTTCCTCCTACAATTAACGAATCTCTGTAAGCTTCCTTTTGCCCAAATTGGTTAATAGTTTTGTGGATAGCGTGTGGTTTCAACGACTTGTAATCCTAATTTTCGTTCCATGATTAATCAACGTATTTTACCTGAAGAACCCAAAATATTACTATATTCGCGCATACGAAAAATCAACCAAGATGAAATAAGATACCGTAGCGTCATCTCTAAGAATTTGTGCCTGATATTCTTATCCTTTCAAAGTAGATTCGTAATTATTGCGGAGACGAGAATGATAGCTATGATAAATTCTCATAGGTGACGCTTCGGTATCTCATTTCATCTCGGATAATTTTTCAGACGCGCAACCATAATATTAGTTGGACGACCTTCAGACAGAATACGTTGAAAATGGTTCCATCCAATTTCCGCTACAATGACTAGACTAAGGCTGGCGGAGTTCGGGCTAGCTAGAGTGGATTATTTACTAGGAAGCGAGTGAAAAGGGTAGATGTGTAGAGCAGCACAGAAATATTGGGGGGTAACCAATGGAGCGACGTTGTTAGAGGCGAGGTCTTTCAACCCGATCGCGTCTGGATGTGCTGTCTGTTTCTCGTTGGAGGTGGGTTTGTTCCTGGAGGAGACTCCAAACATCTCAGACCAGCTTAATATTGACCAGATACATTACATCCACGATATTGGAAGGCTTTTGCATATTGGAGGTCTTGGACAAGTTTGGTATGAACACGAACAAAAAAGCCTCTTCCTGAACTTAGATTAATGTAACTAAATCCGCCTAACTAAAAACGTTAATAAAAAAGAATACAAATATAAATTAGATAATACTGGATTGTAACAGGTAAAGATTTAGGTGTCTATATCGATGAAAAACTTACTTTTAAGTGTCATATCGATAAAACAATAAGTGCTTGGGCTTCGAAAAGGACCGGTAAAAACTTCAAATCCAAGAACCGTGATTCCTTTGTATTACTCCTATTTATTCAGTAAGCATTCTTTTACCTTCTTCATATGGAATCCTTTCTACTGCACTCGTTCGTATCGAATTGAAAGAATCCAACATAGATTTTTACGTAAACTTGCCTTCAAAATGTGGCAATCCTAACAGTGATAGTAATTATGGCCAAATCACGAAAATATTTAATATCTTATCACTATTTAATAGAAGAACAATTTCTGTTATTTGTTATATATACAAACTAGTTAATAACTTTTACGACTGCAATAGTCTGCTTTCCCTAGTTCAGCTTAATGTTCCAGATAGGAATTACGTCATTATAACAAGTTTAAATTACTGTCGTACTAACTTAATAATACACAAGTATAAATTCTCCATTAGTAGGACCACAAAGATCCTTCAATCAATTTTGTGAAGAGCACTTGTTTTGTGGTAACATCTTTAAGCGTAAAGTAAAATCGAGTTTTTAAATCAATAATCACATTATATTAGTCATTTTCCGTATATATCTTAATATACAGTAATTTTGTACATATTACTCATATTTTATTGTAACATAGTGAGTTTGTGTTGGTTTTGACTGTGAACACCCCAAAATGTAATATATAAATAAATAAATGAAAACGCTGGTATCTCATAGATGATGCTATAGCCAACTATATATATATATACAATGTGTTTGGTCACGACATGCCGATATTTAAGAGGAGAATTTTTCAGCTATTTTTATAGACAAATCCACCCCCCTACAATGCCCTACCTCATCCCCCTTGAAATTGTAGCCATTTTTATTTTTACGTTACGATCACGGTAGTGCATGTATAAAAATTGTAATAACTGAGTACGTAATTGTCACAGAATGATACATTTGGTGTCACTTGAACGATAACATGTCCTAGCGATTATTGAAAAACTTGTTTTGATACTAGCCGTCAAACATACTTAAAAACAGACAGAAACAGAAAAAATATGGAAGAAAATTGATTATTTTGTGCATTTCCGCACACCATTCAAAAACTAGTCTGTGGAGTTGTACTTTTTTGTGCTGATTCTACAGCTTTTTGTTATCCTAAGTATTCTACGTTAAGCAATAACATGGGTCAAACTGGGTGTAATAAAATACAAATTGTTTTCAAACCTTTTATACATAAAAATGACAAATTAATGTTTCTTATAGAGAGTTTGGACATGTTCAATGTTACAGAAGCTGTTCAAAATGTCCTCCATTATTGGTGATGCACACTGCTGTTCTTAAAACAATGTGTCGTGTTGAGCGGAAGACCATATCTGTGTCAGCCCTAATTTCGTTCCCAGCGGTATGGATCCATTTTAAGGGGGATGAGGTATGACATTGTAGGGGGTAGATTTGTCAATGAAAATAGCTGAAAAATATCCCCCTCAAATATCGGTATGTCGTGACCAAACACATTGTATATATATATATATGAGCAGTAGTCATTGCCAAAGCCAACGACCAGTTGGGCACAAAATACAATTAATTGTTAATTGGGAAATTGGCAAATTTTTAGGCTTAAGTTGACCTTTTTGACGATAAAAACAAGCTTTTGGCATTCTCTATGGAGCTCTCATCAGGATTTAGTCGTTGAATTTGAAACACCTTGTGGCTGCAACCTCAACGACGAAATCCTGATCTCCATAGAGAATGCCGAAAGCTTGTTTTTATCGTCAAAAGAGTCAACTTAAGGCTAAAAACTTGCCAATTTCTCAATTAACTATATATATATATATATATATATATGTGCATATAGGTACAGCGCCATCTACGAGACAAAGATATACTTCTAATTATTGCGGAAAGGAGACACATAGCTCTGACAAATTGAGAGTAGTTAGCAGTGATTTAAAATTGAAGAGCGGGGGGCTCCATCTTTAACCCATTAAGCAAGTTTCTGAGACTTGATGGTCTTGTGACAATTGACGTGCGAGGGGTGGTCAGATTCGTCCAGGAGGGAGGCACGCGTCTCACGATTCAGGTCTTGCCAGGTAGTTGTTTCACTAACATATAGCAATTTGCACCATTTTCTTAAAAGAAATGGGAGACTTGGGCGTCGTTTGAGTATCTCTCACATAAACTGTTGTACAAAGCATGAAAAGCTTAACCTGGCGCAAAAAAAGTTGAAAAAGATGTTAATCTGGAGACACTTGTACTGTAAAATCATTCATCCCAGGTGAGGAAAACCAAAGGACAATACTGGGTCTGGGTGTTTCAATGTAAATATCAGCCGATTCAAATCAATGAGTCGCGGTCGATAGAAAAAATAATGGCCGTGTCTTTTATCAGAAAATCGGGTTCAGTAACAAAATTGTGTTAAATTGTACTTAGGAGATTGTTTGCTACAAATAGTTGAAACGCTGAAAAACTTAGAGGGTCAGACGGTTTCATAAAGAATCTGGAATACGAGTGTTGAATAATCCACTTTAAAGCCCTTAGTTGGTACTATGCGATTTTGACTTTTTTCCGTTTTCGAAGTTACATGTTGCAAAGGAAGAGAGTAGGTGTGCTTCCGAAGACGAACAGGGAGTCGTTATGTGATTCTATTTATTATTTCTAATAAAAGCGCTTGTTCGATGCTTGCTTGGTAGTTGGAGAAGTTCATGAAATATGCTAGAAACCTGTTTGAAATATAGTAAATATTTTTTTCATATGACAAAGCTTATTCTGGGTCCTACCTACCTTCTAAGATCTTGTCCAAAGGATCAATCACACTGAATAACAAGCGCAGCGACTTTGTAGTCCAGCAAATTCGCTAAACAACCCCTCTGTTCCGTCTCTCAATAGTAAGTTAAACAACAAAAACCATAAAATTAATTAAGCTGCCTGGATCGTAAATAATAATGCCAAGGCAACGTTTTTCTCTATACCTTCCTCTCTTTCTTATTCCATCTCTTCTCACATGTAACGCGCTGTTACAGTAAATTGAGATCTGGAGGACCCTTTTGACGTTGTCATTGGAGAAATCTATACGGGGCGTTTCAACGGGTGGTTCTGTAGTGGAATTTTATATCAGTACTTAGTTTGTAGTACCTGATGGTGTATGGTGTATTTCAAACCACTTTAAGAGACTTCGATGCAACAAGAATAGAAAGAAGTACTTCGTGGTTACGATACTTACATCGCCTGTCGGTGGAAGGAGTAACTGTTAATAATATGTAAAGACGGATCTTGCATCTTTTTAAGTGCGCTATCTTCCCCAGCCTGTACCTACGTGCAACATAATTTTTCTCGAACCAGAACGGGAGATGTATAAAGTATTTCCAAAAAAACGTAGCACTTCGTTGTAGTTCACATAGACCTTAGACCTAATTTGTGGTTTTACTAATTTTTTTCTGCAAACTACTTTGGCCTTAAATTAACAGATATAAGCTGCACCTAACTCTATGCACATCGCAGGCGATAAGATTTTTTTTAATTATATCTATATACTTATATTAATTGTTTCAAATATCAACTCCTAACAGACTATAATCGGTTAGTAGGTTGTGATATATATTTTAAAATATGTATTAATGTAGTATGCTTCAATAATACCTACCACAATCTTAGAAATATTTTCCCTACAATTTATTTAAATTAATAATGTTCAGACCTTCAGACTTTGTAGTATACCTATAAAGTAATTGTTGGAGGCCAAAAATAAGTTCAACATCCTTATACGTATGAAAAAGGAATCATATATCTAAAAAAATGCTTCATTATTGATGAGAGAAGTACTAGCGTCAACTGTTAATCAGGAAGGGCTTCAAAAATAGCAAGTCGCATACGAGCTCTATTTACGTACGAAAATGCTGACTATGTTTTGACATTTACAGTGATTTAGAGGTGAGATTAATTGGCAAATGACGATCAACCGTCACCTGTCACGTGCCAGCACTTTGAGTTTTGTAATATACAGGGTGCAAAATTAGTAGTGGATCAACCGAAGTCAGGTTATAGAGGGCCTCAAAACATATCGAATGAATCCCTATATGTGTCGTCCGAAATTTTATAGTTCAGGAGATATTTGCAATTTTTTGAAATTTGGAAAAAGCGGGATAACGAACTTTCAATCGCAATTACAACTAAACCATTAGGTTTAGGGCTGTGATTTTTTTTTGAGATGAGCTAAATGGTTAGTTTCAGCAAGGGTTATATCACTTTTTAACAGAGCTTATTAGAAATCAACGCAAAAAATCATAAATTCATTTTTTTGTGAAAAATCTCTTCCATCCCTCAACGTTGGAGGAAGCTTAATGAGCTTGGGCATTCAACTCGGCATTCCAGGTGCGGGAGCGTTCAATCTTCGGTCCGACCGAATCATATCATATTCTTTGCGAGATTATGCAGAAATGCCTATTATGGTGCTGTCCTAGGAAATGTTCGAGCAGATGCTCGCATGTATCGGAAGTATGTGGTTAGAAGAGGTGGACTACAACCGGCGGTATATCCCGACTACCACGTTTTTCTACGCGTCCATGACGCGTATATGGAGGGCCGCATACTAGGCACTCATCGTCAGCTAGGAGCGCCGAGGATATGCCCAGAAGAAATAGAAGATATAATAGAAGCAGCCGAGAGAGATCCCTCTATAAGCACCAGAGCCATTGCCTGAAGCAGAAACATATTCGATACTTCAGTGCACACAATACTACGCTCGGAGAACATACATCCTTACCATGTACAAAAAGTAAAGAATTGCTTCCAAGCGACTCTGCACAATGGGTTGAATTTTGTGAGAATATGTTGAGAAGGTGCGAAGAGGGTGAAACCTTTTTCGATATCATCTTATGGACAGATGAATCCAACTTTAACCGAAATAACATATATAAATATATTCAACATACACAATTTTCATTCATGGAGCGTGGAAAATCCACTCGCTATGCGCCGACACAGCAACGTGAGTTCAGCGTTAATTTATGGGCTGGAGTACTCAACAAAAAATTAATTGGACCATATGCATTGCCCGTCAGGTTGAATGGTCAGTCATATCTTGCTTTTTTACAAAGCAGTTTGCACGAGCTGCTAGAGGATGTACCTTTGGACGTTCGAAGCCGCATGTATTTTTAATGCGATGGTGCCCCATGCCACTTTGCATGGGATGTACGGCCTTATTTAGACAGTGACTTTCCTGGGCGTTGGATGGGTAGAGGAGGACACATACGATGGCCGCCATGGTCCCGATTTAAATCTTCTAGATTTTTTTATATGGGGATTTCATAAGGGGATAATCTATGCATCTGCAAAAACAAATGTCAACCAACTGCGCCAGAAAATTGATGATATTATAGAAAATGGAAATTCATGTCAAAGACTAAATAAAGGATAATTTCATTAGAAGGTGTCGCTTGTATATAGAAAATAATGGAGGCCATTTCGAACATGTTATCTGAAAGTTAGTTAAATTAAATTATCCTCAACGTTTGTCGGTAAATCGCCCTAAAGACCGGCTAAACACAATAGGTTCTGTACTTGTAGGTGGTAAGGATTCTATTGCGTTTCTTACGTTTATCGCATCACAACAACGAATGTGACATGATACACTCATCGTAGCAAACTGAAATTTTCAGGGTTTATGCTACATCGATTGAAATAGTTTTTACAATAAAATGAATAATGATATACAACCCCAATTTTTTTACCGCCCTCCAAAGTTGAGGGATGGATAACATTTTTCACAAAAAAATGAATTTTAGGTTTTTTGCGTTGATTTCTAAGAGGCTCTGTTAAACAGTGACATAACCATTGCTAAAACAAACCAATTAGCTCATCTCAGAAAAATCAGTCACAGCCCTAAATCTAATGGTTTAGTTGTAATTGCGATTGCAAGTTCATTATTCCGTTTTTTCGAAATTTCACAAAATTGCAAATATCTTCTGAACTATAAAATTTCGGGCCACACATATACGGGTTCATTCGATAGGTTTTGAGGCCCTCTATCACCTGACTTCCATTGATCCACTACCAACTTTACACCCTGTATTTATGTTCAGATATCTGTTTTGTGTAAGACGTTTTGACCTTCACTGTGGTCCTTTCCAATTACAATTTATGCGGTGGTTGAAACATCGTACAATAAGCATATATGTGGTTTTGATTCGGCCAGACAATGGAGTTCTATATCTACTTGTGCCGGTTTAATGGATATCTAAAAATAATTGATTATCCAGTAATTCTAACGGCTCTTGTCAATCTTAATAAGGTATATAACATTTTTGATCGTAGTGCTTGCATAGTTGCTTGATTGTGTGGCTCCTGCATTCACGAACACAGCTTTATTCTTAGATTTCTGACTTCGGTGATATTCGGATCGGTTCTGATAACAACTGGCGCCAATGCAGAAACAGGGATGACATAGTGCGGTATAAATAAAGCTTTCCCAGCAGTGGATAATGAACTGACTACTGACACGAGCAGGACATGGAATTTGTAGTGAAACAAAACGGTAAAATCGAAGCTGTTGGTGTGTATATCTCTGTAGTTGAGATGGATGACATACCTATATAAACAAAAATTATCTGTAGATTCGAATGATGTTCAAAGCTAAAATTGAGCAACACCAAGCAAATATTTTCGAAAAAAGGTTTTGAGTTAACCCTTAACTATTTGCCTATTGACTATTGAAGGATCTAGGTTTTTAATGGAGCCATGTTGGTGTTAAATAGATGTTGATATTCTTGAATGCAGCTAATTCAATTTCGATTTGATTGAAACTCATATGCCACTGTCGAGGAAGTACTGTAATCGCGAAATATTTCAAATATAAGATATTATATTTTTTTAGTGTTGTATGTACATCATGAAAAGCCATGTGAATCATTTCCTTTCCGTCGGTCTGTCTGTCAATGCCTCTGTCAGTCTGCCAGCCATATAATTTGAAAGGTAGCGCATAGATTTTGATGAAACTATGCCAAAGGCGAAAAATATGTGTAGCGGTTAAAAATTGACAGTTGGGGGCTGTAGGCGGTAGGGGATTGTATATCTCAATTTTTGGCATTGTTATATTTATGCGCTTCCAAGTCCGTTACATCATCTACAATTGTATATTTCACAATTCATAGATTCATAAATTTTGTCATTAAAGCTTAAAATGATATATAAATACTTCCAACACACATCTCTGTATATACCTGCCTCGCGACGTCACGGTCTGATCAATGGGGGTCAACGTTGCCAGATGGTTGGTACGGTCGGTAAGACACAGGACACTATTCTAGATCGCAACATTGTGAAACGGGTGAGGACTACGGACTAACCTTATGGGCATGCTGGACTGACTTGTTCCATTCAATTTATTAATATAATGTCTTATCTAACTTTTTCTCGGAGGGACAAACTGTGCCGAACATAATTCTTTATGATAGCGTTGCATGGGAGGCAGGGTCAACCTACTTGACGCCATTTTTTAATTTGACAAAATACCCAGATTAGCGAGTAGTAGAGTCACTCCCCGATTAAATTAATCTCTTGCCACCTTCCCACCTCGCACGGGGTAGTCAGAAGGCAGTCAAGCCCTGGGTATGCAGCTGTGACCTCTATAACTGCTTTCACCAGCATTAGCGACCCTCTCGGCAGAGCCGACTGTTAAATAATAAATACAAAGAAATATTTCTGCTTTCTGAGACAGTTGCTGACACTGCTTATGAAGTCCAGTCAAGAAAAGTCCTTCCGCTAATGATTTTTACTTCTTTACCAGTACTATGGAGCCTTCGAACCATTGAACAAATCAAAACTACAGTCGATCGTTCATGTTGAAAATCAATTCCTAAATATAAACGGAAATTCCACCAGGTAAGTTATAGCCTCTAATTCGGTCCGTTAGCACGGCATGAATGCAAATCGTTGGAGTTATTACAAAACATACTCGTACATTTAATTATAATTTGCAAGCTATGTATAGCCGTGTGACGCTCTGATGCTAACTTGTACATAACTCTATCCACCTACAATCAAGAATTGCGTGCATAACGATCAAAATGGCGACTGTTATGAAATTTCGGCCGACTGAATCCTCTTTGACGTACTTAGATGAAACGTGGTGGATTTCGCTGAAAATGCTTGTCGAATTTCCACGGAATAAAAACTTTATTCTATTGATGTGCTCCAGTTCAAAAGAGCGGAATGATGTTCCAAGATTTAGTTATGTTTGATGGTAAACGAGGTGTATATATGGTGTTTCACTTATTCTTTTTGATATATTTTTTTCTCGTCTCGAATACTAGAGGTGGCAGTTGCTAACGTAAAACTGAGACTTCGGAATGTAAGCACTAGACTTTCTGAAGAGAATGACTATATGTTTAAAATACGAATACACAGATATTTTTCACAGTTGTCTCTTGAAAAATTTCAGAATTTCACCTATAAGACATTTAAATGGACTTTTCAGCCCTGAATTCAGTGATGTATTTCGTTAGTTGACCATAAATTTACTGTTGGATGAAAACTAAAAGGAAATAAAAAGATATGGTGGAACCTGAATACAAAATGATAATTTTATTGATGGTAATAACAATAATAACCATAAATTAGCAAAGGTCTTGACAGTCTTCCAAACTCTGTTGCTATGCTAACAAATCAAATCTGGTAATTTCGAGGCCTACCTAGGAACTTCTTGAATAACTAAGGTTTTGTAATGTCATGGTATGACATATACGTTTCTTAGATCAGAATAAAAATTCTATTCATGTGTGTAAGAATCCAATATGGCGTCTGTAAGAAAAAATTAAATTGATGCTGGAGGACAAGAGACGAAACATCATATTGAAATTCTAATTTTATCGTCTTGTAGAGGAGAAAATGTGGCAGAGTTGATGTACAATTTATTTTGACCACATATAAGGTTAGGAGGAAATTAAAAACATTTGGGGAAATTTCGTGTTTTACGTCTCTTTCCGGAAGTACTTTCAATTTCAAAACTTTCTAAGCAACATTTTGCTGATTATCTAAATACGCAACTTTGCCCTTATCCAAGCGACTTCGTATCCCTTGAAGTTTCCGAGATCCCAATGGTGAGGGTCGAATTTAAAATACCCTATATAGGGATAATATTATTTTCTCCCCAGCAGAAACAGTCACTTCCTCTCCGTGGGCACCCATAAAATAAAGCCGGGAATAACCACCCTACTATCCGAGTTTTACTAAAAGTCATTCACAATATTGTACATTTCTCATGCATAATCACTGCAGACGTTTATTCACCATTCTTACTATGTATTTATTTACTTGTTCAATTTGTCATTCGATGTGTGGAATCATATTTCTTCGAATTTCTGTCTATATGAGAATTGAATGGAAATTACTGAGTAAATCTACTTGACATTTTTGGGTGCTGCTTTTTTTTTCTAGAAAGTGTCCATGTTTTCCTCTCTAGAGGAAAATTCGGACATATTTGGGCTGTTGGACGAAAAATCCCAGATCATTCTGGTTTACAGCAAATGAATTCCAAACTTTTCCAAAATTGTCTACAGCTAACTGCGTAAACTAAGTCTTTTCTTGTCGCCAACTATCAGTTTGCTGATTGTCAGCAAACAGGCTGTACGAACAAATCGCTAGACGTCATACATCCATTTGATATTTCTCCAAGTTTTAAGAGCAAGTGTACAAGGAAATTTGTGATCTATGATATACCATGTACTAAGAGGCGCGTACAATTAGCAGGATTGGAAGCGTTTGGATATACTATGGACACAAAAGTTGAGATATGCTCACCCTACCCTCTACAACCCCAGCCTACAAGTTTTAACCCCTATAAGTATTTTCCATAAATGATCAAGGGCCTCCTAAAACATCAAAAAACGAAGTTTGAGCGATTTTTGTGTTTTCACCCCTACCTCCGTCGAACTGGACCACTTTGCAAAAACTACAAAGCCCTTTCGTCCTTGACATTGTAGTAATTTTGCTTAAAAATTTCATCCTAATCCGAGTAGAACTTTCTAAGTTATAGATTCAGACAAACAGACTGACTGACATGAATGTCATGTAACATCCATAAATCATTATATATACGAGGGATGTCTTTTAAGTTTTGCATATGGAAATAAAACAACACTGTAGGTAGTTTTAAGTGACTTCGTTTTTCGAAGTATTCAGCACAAAGATTAATACACATCTGCATGCGCTCGAACCAATTTTCGAAGCACTTATTCGACTCGTTTGCTGGCAGATCCAAAACGGCATTTTTGAATGTGCCAACTGCTTCTTCTGGTGACTGGACCCTTTGACCACGCAGTCTGTTTTTAATTTTCGGGAAAGTAAAGAAATCGTTAGGACTTAGATCGGGACTATATGGAAGATGGTCCAATAATTCCACGTTTTCTTCCGTTAAATACTGCATTGTTCTTTTGGCTGTGTGCGAGCTTGCATGGTCTTGGTGGAGGATGATTCTTCTTTCGAGGTTGATTTTTCGAAGCTCGGTGATGACTTTTGGCAAACAAATGGTGGCATACCAATCCGCGGTAACAGTTCTTTGCTCATTAAGGGGAATTGAAGCATTAGGACCCCCTTTTGACTCAAATGTCGCGACCATCTTTTTCGAAACACTTTGAGAACGGATGACTTTTGTTGGCTTTTCTTCACCTTGAAATACCCAAACAGCCGGCTGTCGTTTATTTTTTGGTTCATAACAGTAAATCCACGATTCTTCACCACTAACAATGCTGTGCACATTTTTTGAGTTTCCGGAATTGAAACGGTTAAGCGTTTTTTGACACCAATTAACCCTGGCTGCTTTCTGCTCTTCAGTCAACAGGTGGGGTATCCAACAAGAAACTAGCTTACATACTCCTGATTCTTCATGCAAAATTTTTTGAATTCAGGTCTTTGAGATCTTCAAGGACGCCTCAATCTCGCGATATGTCACATGTCTATCTTCAATGATTAGTTCGCGCACAGCATCGACGTTTTCCTGGGTGACTGCCGTTTCTGGTGCACCCATCTTGGAATCGTCGCTAAAACTCACCCGTCGACGTTTGAATTCTCCATACTAACGGGAAATTGTCGACTGATGTGGCCCTTGTTGCCGAAAACAGCCAGTAACTCAGAAAGCGATTCTTGTTGCGATAATTGTCTCTGAAAGTTGTAATAAATTATGGCGCGAAATATTGTCGGTTGAGTTCCATTTTTCTAATGACTTGGTGACACTTAAAAATTCACTGTAGTGAGAACACTGCACGTATTGTTGTGAAACTTTGAATTTAAGTTTACTAAAGAGTGAGGTTGTGATTCAGTACTGACGTTCGATCCGCACGGCCTACTATATTTCTTTATGCAAAACTTAAAAGACATCCCTCGTAATTTTAGAAATTTTACGATTACAATAATTCCTCTCCAATAAGCATGGAAAGTAAAATTAAGCAGCTGAAAGGAAACGTGGTCGCACGTCTTGAAGATGTCCTTTACGAAGGAACAGCAGCCACACCATCGAAAAGATCAACGAGATCGTGTTGGGCGATAGGTGTGTAAAGGTAAGGGAGATAGTTGAGGCCGTGGATCTCAAAAGGAGAAGTTCGAAGCATCTTGCATTAGAAACTGGGATGAGGTATCTTTGCTAGAACCGAATTAGTACATTTAGGTAGTATATGAGCGTCAAAGAAATCGTTAAGAATCATTAAGAAAAGTAGAAGACGTAAAAAATGGAATCTCCCTTGTATCCTGGTATCCATTGGCCACGAAATGAGTCTTTGTCCAGGCTTAAGATCACAGGTACCCAGAGGTTTTAGAAAACTATCTTGTAGAAGTTCTCAAAGTATAGAATGTAGGGTAAAATATTCATTTTCATTTACTGTTGTGATAAGCGAATGAAACTTGCAGCGTCGAGTTAAATGTCTAAAAACGTATTATAGGTGCCAAGTTTTCTTTTATACCGTCTCAAAGTTGTTTTGCGCTTTTGCGGTTACGTCAAAATATCGTATGGAAAGAGTAAGCAGAATGACTAACGGTACCATGTGCGGAGCTTAACTTCTCTGTGAGAAGTTGCACACTGCTTACGCTGATCTTTAATTTGATCTGATTTGATACTGTTTACCTTGTAGTTGTACCATTACCCAATATATATCGAGTGTATTATACTCGTACTTGAAGTAGCACATTAGACAAATCTAAATGAAGACGATTACGCTAGGAAAACGAATTTCGAAATGCAGTTATTGCACGATGCAAATGGTTTTTGAAGTTGAGTCATTAATTTTCAGATAATGATTGTAGAAGGAAGATAAACCAAAATATGTGTTTAAAAATAAAAAAATGTTACCTTGTTTTATAAAGTCTCCTCCCGACAAGTATTTCAGCGCGGACCTGTATTTGATCGTGCGGTCTTGGAGCACCGGCATGCCCTCCCCTGTGACGTCTTAAGTCACCTGATTCACGAGCCCTATGTACTACATTAACAAAGGCACGAGGGGTTGGTTGCACTCGATTGGGAAACCGATCCGCATACACCCGTGATGCCGCGGCAGCATTTTGTAAAGACTCTCCCCCGTAAATAAGAATCATGTCCACAAGTTCAGCATTTTCGTAAACATGTGCCATTTTTTATTTCGTTTGAGCCACGCAACAAACACCACTATTCACTCACGCGTTACCGACTGACACATTGGCTGAATACAACTGAATAAAATTGTAGTAAAAACATCGTGATAAGCGTTTCAAATTCTTTCGCTTTTTTGTTTCCGATGCGATGAACCGATAAGGCGGATTATATCCGTTGTTGCCAAACACGAGCACATAATATTATTATTGAGACAGGGCGGTACTCAAACTTCTAAAGGGCTATAACTTTGTTACTTTAATTTTACCAGAAAAATGTTAAAGGAAAAAACATTTCTTTTGATCAGATCTACTCACTGTTAAAATAAATGACTCACCTTCGAAGTCACCCTGTATATTATTACTCATTTTGGTCGGACCAGTGACGCAGCGCCAGACATCTTATGTTAAATTTCATTAAGCCGTATGGACTGTAGCCCGTGAAATTTACAAAGAGAAGGCATGCTGCACCAGAGCAGATCTCGGTTAACGATGTTCCTGTCCTATGGGGAACAACTGCGAAATATCTGGGTGTCACATTAGATAAAACTATGATTTGGAAAACTCATATTCAAAATTTAACCAAAAATGCATTGATAACTTTTCGACACTATAGAATGTGCTCCCCCCCGGTATGTCTCCAATGATACATTTCACAGAAATCTGCAAATACCTACGGTCTTTGAGCAGATCAAGTTACTGGCTAGGAAGCGTTATGAAAGCGCAAGCTCCCTTTGTTGCGTGCCGCAGTGGACTATACTCCGGATCAAGTACCTAAACATAAAAGGCCCCTCCCCGTAAATCTTTTGGTAATACTCTAACCAAATTACGCACCATTCGGAATACAGTTTAAATAAATTTCGTTCTCATTAATTGATTCTATTCCTCTTTTTTCTCCCTTTTTCTCATTTTCTTCCTTTCTTTCGTCTACCTCTATCTTCTGCTTAATAAAAAATCTCTCCTGGCTGGGCTCGGGAAGATTATGAAGAAAGAAAACATCATTCTGCCAGACAAGAGCCAAGGTCCTGCGGACCGCTCAAATAACAAACGACCAGACAAGCCCGTGAAATAAGATAGTTCAATGCTATATCCTAGGACAGAAAGTAGGCTATGCGTTATTCCAGACTATAATCTATCTCTGTACTAAATTTTATCTAGATTCGTTTAGTCATTTTTGCATGATTGAGTAACAAACATACACACTTTCTCATTTATAATTTTGATAGGGATTGAAAGATCAACAAACTATCAAACACATTGCACGCCCATGATAACCTTAATGACAGTAAAAATCATAAATGTGAAAGACGCATGTCGATGAGGCAAAACTAAAACAAACCAATGTCATAGCATATTATGTAGAAACCGGGTGTATATACAGGGTGGCGCATCGAAAACGAAACAGATGCATTTACTGGCAGCTCAGTTTTTTTTGGAATAATGCTTAGACCCGTCGATTTTGTTTTCGAGGGGAACACAAGTTTGGCAAAAAATCACGTTAACACGTGCAGCCCCCTGGGCGGGGGTGACACCAACCCTAAAATCTTAAATGGAAAGGGGGGTCGAGTGATACCTTATTTTAAAGGTCTTTCAATTCCCTTTATAATGATGTGAAATACATGAGCTTCAGTTCAGTAGTTTTGAAGATTTATTGATTTAAATCTTAAAGTAGACTTTAATAGGTACATCAGATTAGTTTGTACTACTTTCAGAAGCAATTTGACTAAAAGAATTTAAATAATAAGCAAATGCTTTTCTTCACTACGCCCATGGTTTGATTATCATTTTGTTGTTGAAAATAGCTATTGGAGCGTTTTTTGTGGAAAAAACGTTATTTCCTGAGGAAAGATAAGGAAATATACTAAGTGACATATAAATCCGAACACCCAGTTTAAATGGTTTTATTTTAATAAAATTTTGTATAAGTACTTAATGAAGCATAATAAGTAAATGATAAAAATTTCAAAATGATTGCACTGCTTTAAAGCCCTTTGACCTTTAATAATGTGTGGATGCACCCTGATGTGCTACGCATTCTCCAACGCGCCTAGGCATGCTTCTGATCAGGTGGTCAATCTCCTCCTGTGGTAACTCATTCCAGGCAACCACCAACTCCTCTCGAAGTGCTTCTAGCGTCTGAAGTGGACGTTGCAAATTGAGCAATCTCCTACCCATCATATCCCACACGTGCTCAATTGGGGATAAGTCGGGAGATCTTGGTGGCCATGGTAACAATGTGACATCATTATGTTGAAAGAAGTCTATTGTGACTCTTGCAACATGTGCTCGGGCATTATCTTGTTGGAAAGTTGGATCTGCCAGGGTGTCAAGATAGGGTAAAAGATGGGGTTATAGAATTTCGTGGATATAAAGCTGCGCGTTCATGTTACCTCTAATGAAGATTAAAGGTGACCTGGAACCATAAGCTATAGCACCCCAAACCATAACTCCAACAGTGTGATGAACATGTCTTTCAACAAAAAACTGTGGATCCCTCCTTTCACCACGTCGCCTTCTAACCCTGGCACGACCATCGTGCATTCCTAAACAAAATCGAGACTCGTCACTAAAGACAATACTGTTCCATTCCTGATCCCAGAGTGACCGTTGTCTGCACCACTCAAGGCGATTACGTCGGTGTTCTCAAGTTAAAGGGAGGACCCAGTCTGACCGGTATGAAAACAAGCCAACACTTCTCATTCGTCGGTAAACACTTCGCATGCCAATAGGTCTTCCGTGTTCTGCAAACCATTCATTTGCAATGGACCTGGTAGTGGAGAAACGGTCCCTTAAGGCCAATAATCTTAGGCGGCGATCTTCACGGTCTGTTGTTCTACGGCGGCGTCCAGTGCCCCTTGCTCTTTGGGTACGGCCTTCTCGAAGCCATGCCTGACAACACCTAACCACAGTGTCTACACTTCTTTGCACTCTAACTGCAATTGCCCGAAAAGAAAGTCCAGCTTCCCGAAGTCCCACTATACGGCCCCTATCAAACTCACTAAGTTGACGAAATCGTACAGGTCTCCGTACTCAAGGCATCGTAACCGATCGTAAAGGATGTGAAAAATCAAAATCCGCCAACTTTGATTCTTTACTGCAGTATAAAAACCGGAATGTCCAACTGATAAGGCTGGAAATTTTTTCACTTGTTATTTACAGTAAGATAAATACATTCACCAACTTTTATTAAAATAAAACCATTTAAACTGGGTGTTCGGATTTATATGTCACTTAGTATATCTCGTACTTATTTTAAATAGGAATTTAGTACATAGTTTGCGATTGATTTGAAAAATTTGTTGCTAAAATAACTTGTAACGCTTTATTACATAAATTAACCATGGCATATTCCACAGCAGAAACAGTTGAAATTATTGAAATATTTTTCGGAAATAATCAGTGCGCTAATAG